CTGCGATGTTTGCTCACCGGCTTATGCTCAAAAATCGATCGAATTTTTAGATCGACCAGGCCAACTGTCCGATCGATGGACAGCGGATAACAAAAAAGAGAGAGAGAGAGAGAGAAATAAAATAAAATAAAATAAAATAAAAGAACCGAAGAACGACACAGGACGCAGGATGGAAGAACAAGGTAGAAGAATGATTTCTTTTCACGCATTTAAAATCCAAATCGACTTTCAAAACGAGATTCAAATCCTTCGTTGTATCGAAAATCGCTTGCTCGATACGAAATGCATTACGCGATGCATTGCAAAACAGTGAAATCGACTATTCTCGAACTGTGACGTGTGTCTACGTTCGATCACGGAAGACGAGATGCATGGTCCCGATCGGCATATTCGATCGCTGAATCGTCAGATTTGAGAGAGAACTTTTCGATCGATCTTGCGATACGAGAATGATTTTTTTCTTCTTCTTTCTTTTTTTCAAAATACGTTAACGTAGTTGAAAACCGAAAAAAGATAGAAAATAGAAAATTGGGAGCAAAAGGAACGGGGGAAAAAAAAAAAAAATCCTTAAAAATCATCGCGTTTTTCACATGTTCCCTATTAGGTGAATACCCCACGCGTCGCCGTTGTCGTTTGTCATCGTTCGAGGATTGACGACAAGGCGCGAGGGTTGGTCCAACTGCATCAACGACAGCAGGTGGCTTGAAAAAATGATCCCTGTTTCTTCGTTCTTCTTCAACTTTCCGATCCGTTCCCATTAATGAATTATTTTTTTTACCAATTATTATATTTCTTTCCCCTATCATCCTCGAGCTTTCATGAACTTTTCCAAAAAAAAAAAAAAAAAAAATAATTCGAATACTCGAATACGTATCATCTTTTATCTATACATTTTTTTCTCTTAACGACTCTTATTACGCGAAACGTTTGTGATCGATGAATCCCAAGTAAGAGAGAGAGAGAGCGTCGAATTAATCATCGGTATAACGTTTGAATCGTTCGCACGAAGGATCTTTTAAACGGTTTTTCACGGAATATATAGAATATACAGGTGACTATTCCGAGTTATTATAAATTGGAATATAAGGTGGAGAAGTTGGAGAGAGAATACGCGTATCGCTGTTCCGATGTTCGTCACCTTTTCGTCGTCGAACGTTTGAACAAGGACTATCGGAACGAATATAGAATGCGTTAAAAGACCGTACGAGGAATCTGACCAATTTTCCGTGTACCACCTACACGGTTGGTGGGTGAAAATACTCGTATGATTCATTCGTCTAGACAGGTATAAGTATAGTACGGCAGGGAAAGGGGTTTGGTAAACGGGAAAGAGAGAAAACAGAGAGAAAGAGAAAGAGAGAGAGAGAGAGAGAGAGAGAGAGAGAAGGGGGTTAGTGCGTGCACCGTAATAAAGGCGTTTCTTCGTCGAAAATGCAGAACGATTTACCGGAAAGCAAGGACCGGCGCGGCGCGGCGACCCGATGATGAATGGAGGGACTCACGCACTACCGGTGCTAGCTAGCCACCGTGATTTATTCCGACACCTCCGGTTATTACGTTTACAGTATTCCAATTATAACCATCTTGTAAGATATTCGAACGGACATTAATGCCGCTTGATCATACTTTGCGAGCGGTGAAAATTAATATATACGGTTACACTTTATCAATTCAAAGCCGATATTCCCGAGTAGATATCGGATAGTGGATTACACGTGGATCGTACGCGCGTATATATCGATATCGCGCGTTCAATTTTCAAGATTGAACGTTTCCAGCTTCAATTCGATTTAATCTATTGGAATACGAATAAGTATTGGTCTTGAGGATCGAATAACTTGACTCGATTATCGGTACGTTTACCTTTCATCTTGGGTTGATCATCGATCGGATATTAAAAGACAAAGTCGTAAAATCAATATTTTTATGATTGCGCAACGATCGCGAAGGAAAACGCGAATCGAGTAGGATTGAATCTTGAAACGTTGAAATCTTGAAGTTGAGAAAAAAAGAGAAAAGGAGACACGTGAAATACGCAGTGGTGGTGGTGGATTAAATTCTCGACTTTGTACTTCTGATTTTGATTATTTAAAACGTTTCGAACGTGTTTCGAACGTGTTTTTTTATCGATAAATTCGGTACGTTTGCCGTATCGTTCGAACGACTGATCGCTACTCGACTCTTAAAATAACATTTCTGCAATGTGTCGTGTTTGCAAAATAACGATTCTCGACAAATTGGCCAACTCGTTTTTTTAAATTAACGATCTTTTCGTAATTCGACGTTTTCTAAAAACTTCTCGATACGATTCTCGATCGAGAAGGAAAGGAAAAAAATCGAAAGTTGAGACGATCTCTCGATCGATCGAACCGAACCGTACTCGTACCGTTTATCGTTCTTCGAATTCGTAATTTTTCACACGATTATCCCGAGCGTTAATACAGTGAGATAGATCGATAAAACGAAATTTTTAAGTTAATTCGTCTTAACTATTGAAATTTGATTGTGATTCGCAGAAGAACAAAGGGAAGAGGGGATATAGATAGAAAAGGAAATGCAAAAAATAATACGAATTTCTCGTGTATTCCATTCTTTTTTTCTTTTTTTTTTCTTTTCCTTTAATTGCTAATAAAATTCTCGTTATTTCATTTGTTTTTTTTTTTTTTTTTTTTTT